CCTGTTTAGATTGCTGGAAATAAACCATGATTTGCTTAATTGAAAACAATATAGTTGAAAATACTCAATGCCTTTATAAAGAATATTAGCTCTATATTTTAAGAAATCTTCATTATCCTTATTATCTCCAATGGGATACTTTATAATTCCGTTGAATTTCTACACATTATCGATATTTTATTTTAAATATAAAAAAATATTTTTATATTTAAACAAATACTTGCATTATTTATATTTACGTGCGTTAATATTTTACGATATTATTATCTAATCCATTTTAATAGAAAATGTTACAAAATGAGAAAAATACCCAAACAGAACAACAAGTTACGACAACGTCAAATTGTTAAAATAAACGTTACTGACTAAAAAGTAACTTTCAGTAATTAATTTGTAGTCATTTTGATATCATAATGATTTTATGTTCTGTTTAGGATAAATTATGTCAAAACATAAATATAAAAATTAAAAAGATATGAATATTGAATTTTACAAATTTGTAAATGTGAATTTGATAAATTTAAATAATCTGTGTTTCAAAGTAAATTAACTTTTTTATTAAACTAACACAAAATGCATAAAAAGAAACGTTTCCTGAGACATTTCCAGAAAAAGAATCTAACATTTCCTAAGAAGAATCTGGCTTGAGGCTGAGGCTATTAGAGATTTTATCAGACAGCGAAATGTGACAAATATTTATCCAGTGATCTCAAAGAGAAGTCTCAAGAGATCTCTAAGAATAAATCCATATTTTAGATAAAATCCGTTTACTGACGGCTCTGTATGCATATAAAAGGAAGTCTAGAGTGGACATGGCGTTTCAAATGGAACCTGTTTACTGGCGCCTCACAAAACGTGCACATGAAGAACTATGTAGGAGGATATTCCGGCAGGTAACATCTTTAAATTTGTTCTCTGTACGCAAAATATAATTACATAATATTGTTGAATAGCGCAATACAAAAATAATAATTGAAAATAAATTAGAATAATTTAAATTTAAAAAAGATACTAAAATGTGAAATATTCGCAATAATAATAATAATTGGAATTATAATTTAACTGAAGAATATTCAGACAAAATTTATCTTTAGAGATGTAGTTTAAGTTCTATTTCTCATGATTCACAAATAATATAATCAGTTCATGAAAGAAGATCATACGTATTTATATTAATAATCTTTAAATAGAATAGGTATTAAATGTAATCCAGAGATATTTTTGATGAAAATATATTTATAAAAAAACAAAATCAACTTTTTATAGAAACAATCACAAATTATTTAAATAATTCAAAATAATTTCAGATCGAATAAAATCTGTTACAATTAATCTATTATAATTAAAAATTATGCGTGCAATCTGTTCTGCATTCCGCGGACTCGATTTCATCTCAATATGTTATATATTCGATGTCCATAATTTCGAATTTTGGTTAAAAATTTGGAAATTTGGTTTGGTGGTTAATTGGTTAATTTGACATTCGAGACATCGTGTCTGTTGATTGATTAACAAGTTGCAATTAATAGTTTGTATTTGTTTCTCAAAACTTTAAATTGATCGACAAGTTGCAATTGACAGCCAAAAAATTCAAGTGTTCTATATAAGATTAATTTTTAAAAAAGATTAATTTTTAAAATTTTACAAAAATATTTACCAAAAGTTTAAAATCGCGTGGGAATCTTTAATTAAATATTTTATAATTTCTATTTACGTTTGCGTTTACAAGAAAAAGTAATCGTGTAAAAAATTGCTTTTAATATGTGTTTTCCATAGAAACGCTATGTTAATAATTATAAGAATAATTATAAGATATTAAAAGACTTGATAATTTTTTACATATTTTAAATGGTTTGAGTTATTTTATTATTTATAATTTTTATTTTTATAATTTAGTTATTACCAGTATTTTTTGAACATATTACGGAATAGAATTATATACATAACACGGAAGAAAATCGGAGACCATAGATTTGTTACTCTTTAGATATGTCCATGTTTATCTTCCAGCATATCCATGATACAGGTTAACGTACATGAGTTGTATAGATGCATATATAGATGCTCTAATAAATAAGTTCCTCTAAAATTCGTGCACGTCCATTCTCAAGTTTCTCTCTTTGCAGATATTAAAACGATTCCTTATCACAATCCAGTCCATCTACGCTTGAATCTCTCATGTCTGAGAAATGATCACGTGCACATAGGATTTTACTCTCTCATTAATGATAACTGTTTTCACTTGTATAAAGTCTAAGCTGTTTCTAATAAGAAACGGCTCACGATCGTGATAACCGGAAGTCACCACGCATTTATTATAACGAAAACTATATTTTGTCTATGAATTGCCTACCATTTTCCTATTTATTAGTATCTGTCGTTGCATATCGCTCATCAACATCTCGTACTCATCACATTAAACGATGCCTCGCGGTGTTACGTGCAGTGCGTCTTGAAATTATTTATCGAGGAATATGCATTTATGTATATATAGCTATACTTTTCTTTACTAAAAAGTGCGTTCTATTTGACGCTCGCACGCTCGCAAACATCATTTATCTTTGTTTAATATTTGATAAACAACAAGGATGAAATAATTTCACGAGCGTAAACGGAACTCAACCTAAATATTACGTCGATTTTCATTTGTTACATGCACGTTTTCGGGAATGTTATAGAATATTATTATTTGTCGCACCACTGACGCGAAGGTAAGGGGATTCGCATATGCAATTTCAGCGAACAACTGTCGCGCAAGTTGCCATGCATCGAAAAAGTTGGTCTCTTATAAGTATGGGTTCGATTGCGTCGGCAATTTTCCATAAGTCGTGGAAATTACAAACGTCCGTAAAAACACAGTGTGTCAGATTAAGCAAAATGCATATAGAAGGAGGAGACGGCAAAAAATTTTCTCTGCAATTTTTGCAACTGTTTCTATCTTAGTCTATAATTTCGATGTGAGTATTGTATTAGGCCCGCAGGTATTTTTTCTTTATTTTTTCTTAGAGTTAATTAATTTTATTACTTCTTTGTTAATAATATTATATTTATATTATATTTATATTATATTTATATTTTATATTTATAATAT